GAACTTCAGGATAGCTGTGAGGAGAATTCCTCTTTCACCACCAGCCATTTAAATTTGTTGGACATATATCTTAATTTTCCTCACTTAGAGTCTTAATCCAGCATGGCAACACCACACAGTTCTAGCCCTATTACTTTTATTTTAAAGCTCAGTATTGCATTAGTGAAAGTATTTTTAAATAGGGGGAAGTTCTTTTCCAATTAATAAAAATGAGAGACTCTTGCTGTCTACTTCACAACGTATCATGAAGGATATGACTAGCACTACATACTCGCTCTGGAGACTGAAAGAAAAGAGGCAACTTCTCCCACTACATGAATTTCTACTTTCCAGAGGAGGTTTGACACTGCTGCTTTGGGATTTTACATATAAGAGCTTCTGAATTTTGGAAACACAGCTTGTGCCCCTACACTCAGTTTCTTAACCCATATATTAATTATTTGGTGAAATGTTCCATTTTGTGAAAAGAAAGCAATGAAGCTATTCTATTTAACATATTTGTCTCATAATGGACTTTGCTTTGCCCCTGCTTGTCTACACTTTTGTGAGTAATTCTGGATTAAATACTGCAGTTTATATTTACTCTTAATTTATTCTTTTTGCAAATCTCTCTAGATACTCTTCCTTTGTGCCATGGTAAAATACCTTAAATATAAAGCTATGTTTTTACTCTTTCTATTTTAGACAACAAGTGTGGAGTTAAAGATGAGGGAAAGGAAACTCATTAAAAAAAATAGATGAAATGAGTGGAAACTTGGTTTTGCACCTAAAACTTCATATTTTCAGTAATCTCAGAAAATAAAGTAAAAAAACTGTAAATTTTATCTTATCCCTAAAGAATTAATTATTTGCAAGGGCTGATAATATAATATTTGCAGAATTTGTTATGTTTGGATTTTCTCCTGGTGAAGCTGAAGTAGCAAATATTAAGTTGGACAGCTCTCCAAATCTTGGCTAGATCTGCAGCCCTGCTTTGTTGAGATGATGATCTGATCCAATAAAATTGTTTCATCATTACTAGCTGGATCTTAGCCAGTTTTATATCAACTCTAGTTATGAAGCACTAATCTGCTTATATAAACTACTAACTTATCTGTTACTACTTTATATATGAACACTCATTGCAAACCAGAACATTTCTGAAAAACTCTCCAGGGATTATAGCATTCCTCCTCTACCAAATTCTGGGATTCATTAGAAAAGAATGGTCTAAATTTTATTCTTAAATATTAAATGATCAGAAAGCATATTCTTTTTTCAGCACCAGACTTGCAGTTGTCTTTTTAGCTTGATTGATCTCTAAATTCTTAGAGATAATTTCTCTTATCACTTGCTCTGGACCGATTTTGACTTGGGCCTCCCATTTTAAATGTGGGGTTTGTATATTAGAGATCTCTTTGAGATCTGTAATACTTTTCCCCTTTTTTATTACAAGTAAATTTTTTTATCTTTATATCACTTGGGACCTAGAAATTACACTTCATTTTTTTAAATAAAAGTTATTTATCTCTAAAAACATAGGCATTTTGAGGCAGATTTTAGATTTCGCAGTTTTCTGCCCAAATCCAGTTATGTATTGACAAGACTACAAAGTACATCAGGCATTCAGATGGAAGTATGCCACTGACATCAACACAGAATAACAAAAGGTAAATTGATTCATTATGGATGCCAGTGTACATGAAAAAGAGGATATCTGAAGAGTGAGGCTCGTTGCTTTGAACAGAGCTCTGGGAGTTAGATTCATTACCATCCAGAATTGCGGAAGAAAATGTTTCCACAAAGTGATCACTACAGAATTCAAGGGGAAAGTTTGCGTATTTTCCGGAAAATAGATTTGCTTCTACAAGAGGGGTAACAAGTTAATTTATTAATTATTTTAACTAGATAGTACTCAGAATTATGAGTTTGGGGTTTTTTGTTTGTTTGTATCAGAAAATCAGCAAATCTGTACCTTGGCTCTAACAGTTGTTTCTCGACAAAAGAGCTGGCTTGACACAAACATGTCTGTATCCCTAGCCTTGAAGTAAGCCATGAGGCTTACTATAAAGTTTATTCCATGGAAGGCACTCAAATGTTATTTTGAATAAGAAGTATTTTCAGTGTTAGGTTTGTTTTCCTGGATAGCTCGGCTATATTCACTTGTCTGCTCATTTGATGCTTTGAAATCCTGTATAGAAGGATCAGAGGATGGATGGAGCCTGGCTGCTTTGTAGAAGTCATGATAGCTTCCATGGTAGTATCCCTGCTGTCTGTATTAGCAGTTGTGATCATGCTGTCTTGCTATCCAAATGCATGTTCATGATTTCTGTCCACTCTCCAAGCACATAGTACTGCCTTTTTCAGTCCTTTCTGAAACCATGATGTTTCAGTGTTCACTCAATGGCACCTTGCAATAGATGCTCCAGCTGTGTCTTGAGGAGCTATTTAATTTTGCCCAGAAGTTGTGTCAGTGGAATTGTAGCAAGAAAACACTGTCAGATAAGTGGTTTTAGTGTTTAAGACAGGAATTATGTTAACCAGAAGAAATATGGAAGCAACCATGTGAAGATATAAATCCACTTCTCCTGGGGAAGGAGAAAGATCATTTGGTAGTAAGGCTTGAAATTGTTTGAATAGTGTTACTGAAATAATTCTCTTTGCCACAGTGGTAAAGTTTCTGTGCTGCAGTCCAGTATACAGCCAACTTGCACTGTTATTGGAATGATTTTTTTAGTATTCGTGCTGAGTCCTAAATTATCTGAACAGTTGGAAGCATCAGAGAAGAGTATTGAACTAAGTGGAAGTAGAGGGTCAAAATCCAAGGACCCCAAGAGGTGAAATAAAATGGACAAGAATCATAGAAACATATAGTTTTGAAAAGACCTTCAAGATCATCAAGTCCAACCATTAACCTAGCACTGCCAAGTCCACCACTGTCATGAGTGTAAAAGGAGTGATAATGGTCTTAATTCTTTTTGATATGTCAGTGGGTTTAACAGAATAATGGTACAATAAAGGCAGTTATCATACAAGGAATAGTCTAAAAACACAAAAATTATATCAGTGAGAGAGAACTCAAACCAGAAATCTGGTCAAATGCTGTTTTTTCCTAAATTCAGTTCTGCCACTATGACTATGTAAAATCTGCAAGATAAGAGCCATTAGGGGGCCATGTGATTCCAACTTATTTATAGCCTGCAGGGTTGGGGTTTTTTTAAATCAACTTGAAATATCTTAGCTTTCTGTATGTGTATAGCCTGTGTAAGTATATAGTCTTAATTAATTTCCTTTGTTCAACTTCTAATGATTATATGTGCATGTTGAAGATTGTCATAATTGGATGCTACACCATTTGGGGAGGCATTGTGGTACGTAGCTCCTGACCTATGTGTTACATTATGTATATTTAAGTAAATATTTATTTAAATAATACTTATTTTGATAAAATATTTAAATTCTTTATTATATTGTAATTACTTTTGTCTGTAATTCATTAATTTAATAAATCTGTGTATTAGTCAGTTTCTGTTGCTATAATTTTTTTACAGCTGTAACATTCAGTCTCGGTGAGTACTCAGGGTGAACATTCCCATGTGTAAAATACCAAAGATCAAGGCTTAGCTTACTGCTGTCACGCAGATGCTGCACTGGGCAAACAAGCTCCAAATACAGAGTTATGGCAAAGATGTTGGAAGCTCAACTATGGATAAGACAAACTAGTAAGGTCTTTATATAGCACTGCATTAATCTACACTTCGTTCCTGATTCTTCAGCTGTTTGGTTTAGAGGTAACTTTATATCGTCCTGCATATACATACTGTCTGTTTAAACCTGAACAAACCATTTGTGCCTCTATTCCCTTTTGAAAGTGGGAGTAAGACTTCCCTATCTTAAATTAGGATTTCTGAAGTATGGAAATTGGAAGAAGGGTCATTTAAGTATGGGGAGAACATGTATGTTTAATGAACATACGATATGGTACAGGTGTTACAGGTACATACAAGAAAACTGAAAGAAGATATAAACATTGCAGAGTCTTTGAACTACCTATGCTACGCCTTAGTATGTAGGTTCCTGAAAGGAAAAAATGTTAATTATTCATAATGCTTTGCTGTACCATAAAACTCGATTTATTGAGACTATAATTTGTTCAAGTTGCATGTAGTAGGAAAATATATCAGGAGTAATTAATTGTATTCAGGATGTGATGAGGTAGATATATCCACAGAGGACAATTGAAAACAGTAGTGGTGTGGTATTGATTGCCTTTCAGAGGGAAAAAAAATCTTGTCTCGTTTCTAAATGTTAACAATTCAGAGAGAAAAATTCCCACTTGGGAAGAATGCTTTCCAGGTTGCTTCATTGCCAGGTGTTTGACATTGAGTGGAGCCTTAGATGAATGAAGCTTATGGCAGCTTTTGGAAATGACCGACTCAGGGGAATCTCAGCTTCCTGCTGTGAAAGTTTCTATTTTCAAAGCACATCAGTTTCAGTGGGAATGTTCCACTGGTCCCATATGCTACTTCTGATAGAGGGGAAGTTTTTAACCTGAATATGAGAGAGCTACTGAAGAGGTTCCCTTGCTGCTAACAAAATGAATTTCAATATGTTGCCAATGAATAAGCGGCACATTCCCAACTGCTGATGGAATTTAACTCCCATCAATTATTAAAGGAAATTTTGCTTTAATTTCCTTTTTTTCCTGTTGCCTTTTAGCTCCACTACCTTCTTCTGATAGGACTTTTGGGTTCTGAACCTGCAAAAGGAATCACCCAGACAATATGTTAGTTTGCTTTGAAACTCTTGCTATATTTTCCTTCCATCCCTCATACACTCTCTCCTTGACCTAGCAGCAGGAAGCCTTTGTCTGAGGTGTTCATCTGGAACAACTTTTCCACACTTGTTTTCATGTTCTGTTAGATTACAGGGCAGCAGGCCTACCTTTGAAGCTCCCTTCTCTTTTGTTTCTTTGCAGTGCACTCCAGTAATTAACTTTGTCCTTCTTTTATTTGTTCCAGTCAATCGCAGTCCACTCTGCTGAGCATCTTCTCCCAGGAGTACCAGGTTAGAAGTTTTCTCCTTTGTGAGGGTTGACAGGTGCCTAATTGAATGATGAATGTCCCTTTATTTCTTTGTAATTGAACTGCCAGCTTTCTGATTGGTTTGGAGGATGTTCCTTTTTCCACATCAAGCACCGCCTGAGTCTCAGTGGATGGCTGCCAAGCCTACCCATCCATCTGTCTAATAACATCTAGCCTTTGCTTATTTGGTGGACCTGTAATAAATTATGCTAAACCATTATTATTCTGACAATAATAATTTCCCTGTGTTGCGTGGTTCCATGTGCTAAATGTTTGCTGACTTGCACTGTCAGTGCTGCTTTCCATTGCTGACAGAGATGATGATAAATGACCATTGCCGGAGTGGCAGAAGGCAAGAGAGGCAGAAAATGGAGTCATTTATCATGAGATGACAGGTGTCAGTCAAGTGGCAAGTCTCTATGGAATTACTTTTTGTAGTTTTTTTTAAATAAGTTGTTTTTAAGCAATGTTTTTCCTGGTTAAAAATGCCAATTGAATTGTAGAACTAGAGTACACCAGACTTAGATGGAATTGAATTGGGGAAAATTACAACAAAGGTTGAAAGAGACAACAAGGGGTTTTTTGCCCTCTACAGCCTTCAGTAAACTTATTTAGATTCAATTATTGTGACCTTATTGGCTTTTACATATGGTACATTGCAGTACAGTCTGAAGACGTTCAATTCAATAGGTAGATTGAATGTCATTTCTGTACAGAATCTAAAACCAGGGTTCACATATATCAAAGTGTAGCCAAGGATTGTGTGTTTGTGCAGTCATGATTTCTGTGTTTTGAACTATGATATGTTTGTAAAACTCTTTGGTTTTTTGTTTTTCTAGAAACAAATCAAAAGAACACATGCCAAGCACCACACTGCTGAAGCTATTGAAACTTACTACCAAAGGTATGACCTCCTCACCCCAGTTAAGACTGTCATCATAGCTAGTATTTGTTATGGCAGTTATGAGTAAATTACCTTATGAAGCTAATTTTCTATAAAAATAACTTAAGAATTTGGGATGAGGAATACAGAGTGGTTCACCTGAAAATGTTTTTCACTGAAAATGCAGAAATTTTTCAGTATTTGGTCATTTTGATTTAGAAGGAATTTACTTTCCTGGCTCTAAGTCGGAATAAGCAAATATTTTTTTACAGAGTATGTGATAGCATTTATTATGTATTACGTATAATTTGTAATTGTAGGATTTCTGTGTCAAGACTAATATTGATGACAGCTTCCTTACAGCTAGAGAGCTTGTTTTGTTACTGTTGCTTGTACTTTTAGAACAATGTTTTTGTTACATTACAAAAAGTTACATATTCATGTATTGTCATTTAAAGCACTAATTTTTAAATCACTCCTGTTTTATCAACAGAAGTGTCAAATAGTTTTTAAGGGAGGATGAAAACCTTTATGTCATTTTACAATATTTTACAATTGTTTACATCTTAAGCTAATAAATTGTGTTTGCTACACCTTATAGTTTGTCTGTTAGTTCTGTAGGCTTTACTAAAAATATTGCAATGACATAATTGGGACATACTCATAACAGGTAAAGATATGCAATTAAAATATTACTTTGTAGACTGACATATCTGAGGAGCATGCATGGCAAGTGAATTCATACTTGTGATTATAGATGTCTGATATTCATTCTTAGTATTAATCTGTGTGAATCAGGAAATAAACAAAAAGCCTTCATTTGTAAACAAATAACTGTGCTTCTGCCAGAGTCACATATTTAAAATCCAACCACAGCCTGATTATATCAGACAGTGGTTTAGAATATCTAGTGTGAAGTGTGCTGGTTTTTGGGGCATTTGGTTTTCTTTTTTTAGTAGTTGCACTGTTCTGTAAAAATTTGCACTGGATCACATCACACTTTTCCTAGGTTTGATTCTTGTTTAGGAAGACTATTGGCTTAAAATTTTGTTGTGTTAATAACCATGTATATTCAATATTATTTTTAATTATTTTTCACTAGCACAGTTTCAGTGAAGTGGTCTGTGTTAATTGTAACTGTTGTGTAAATAGTCCTTTTCTTTAGCATACGTGTAAATCACTAGTTCCAGCAACTTCAACCTGAAACATGGGACCAAATTCTGCTTTATGCAAAGCAGCAGTTTTGTTGGTGTCAATAGGGTTGTAGGTATGATTAAGTTCGTCTCACATCAGGTTGGAGGATTTGGTCTCCTGTCTTCTTCTGTAGTCTGAAGTATGATAGCAGTACATAACTAATGCATTATGTATGAAGCTATGTGGTGGTAGTAGGGAAAATCATTCTTTACACTATTTCTGAGTATTTCATATTGCAGGTGCATTAACATGGCCAAATAAAATGCACATGTTTTAAAATCAGAGATGCTCTGGTTAATAGTTAGAAAACTCATCTCAATCCTGTTTTAGTAGATTTACTGTGTAGTGTTTAGTAAGCTACAGAGACAGACGACTTGAGAGAGAAGCCACTTTGAAATGCTTCAGACGTAAACATGACAAACACGTCCTCTACTCTTCTGTAGCATCCATTTTACTGCTGTAAACCCCAGTCTGTGTGCTATGCTCCCTGCTATTTCTGCCAACATACAAGCAGATAATTGTGCTGTCATTGCTTTCTTAGGTTAGAAACTACCAGTTTTTGAAAGTAGCCATTTCCAGTGGTCCCTGTTAGGAGCAAGTAAAACAGTTGAGTAGAGTACTTTTTGCTGCCCTGCTGAGACTTACTACTCTGAAATTTAGGCAAACACAAAGACAAATTACAAGAAGGATCAGAAAGTTTTCACAACAGTATTGCCATCAGCATGTGAGACCTGTTAGTCCATAATGGAGTTGCCAGTAGCATTAGAAATATCTGACAGAAAATTACTTCATTGTCAACTGTAGTTTTGCTGTTCAATCATCTAGATGCATGTTTTAGAACATTAATCTCAAATGAATGTTCCTGGTTAGGTATTTTGTTTATGATCTCTCCTTTTCTTTTTCTGTTATAAATTTTCAGTGTATAAACATCCATAAGGCATCTTGTTTTATGTTTTTTTTAGTGTAGAACTGAAATAGGTTACAGCAAAAAGTTTTTTCCATTTCTGTTATTCATTAAACCTCAGAATAACTTGCAAGCAAAAAGTCCTCTATCTGATCTTATGCAAAGAGGTTTTATAAAGGTGTTACACCCATTCCACAGAAAGGTAAAATGAAAGAATTTTAATGTCTATAACTAATGAGCAGAAGAGTGTCTTCTGATGGATAGATAATGATAGAGCTGGAAAGGCTGTGGCCTTCTAATGATGTCAGTATTGAAGTGCTATGCGAATACAGATAGGATAAATGAGCAGGTTCAAATATTGGTAACTATTGTTCTTTTCCACATGGCTGCAAAGCACAAAGTGGCTTCCCATATCATAGCTTCTTCCCATCAGCTCTTGAACACAGGTTTTAGGCATTATCAAAATGTAAACATCAGGCAGTGAAAGTAACAGAAGGGAGGAAGGCGATATTGTGTGAAGTGATGGTCAGAAACATCACTGTGTAATACCCTTAACCAGAAACATTAAGCCTTTGCCGCTGATAGGATAATGACTTTCTATCAACCTTTCTGGGTCCTAAATGTTTCTTTTTGTTTTTGGAATATTAATTTAATTGTCAGACTCTGATTTCACTCAAGTAAGCCTTTAGTATTTAAACTACTGCCCAGTTGATAAAATCTGTATTAAATTTGAGAAATATTTTTTTGTACATAGCAGTGAATTGAATAAGGTATACAGTGCACCTTCATAATTGAAGGTCACGTGAAACCAAAAATCTTAACTGTGAGTAGTAGAGGTTTATTTGTCTGTGATGCATCTTAAAGTAGTACAGATACGGTTAATTTGTATGTCATTAAGCCACAATTTTTTTAATTTCTTGATTTATTGTGTTTTTTATGAGTGACCTCATTGAGATTGATATATATATTACAGCTGAATGGAACAGGAGACAACCCTGGACAGTTAGTGATGTCTTAAAATACTTATTTCTTAAAAGATTTCCCATTAAATACTGGAGTATTTTCCCCCAAATGAAAGAGATTCACAGGGGATGCTGACATGTATAAACTGGCCTTTTCTTGCCACTGCAAAATTATCTGGCTTTGTCTTGTCTAGATACCTGAATGGGGTGATGAAAAATGCAGCTGCCCCTGTATTACTGGAGCTGGCCAATGAGGTAATCATCTTTACATTTTTCTTTAATCTTCTGGTGTAAAACCTAAGGGGCATATCTACAGTGACTTCAGTGAGAAATGTAATTAACCTAAAAAAATGGTTTCAAGGCACATTAGACATTTAAAATGGTTCCCCAGTCTGTTAGTACTTACAATAATTAGACAAAAAGCCCCATTTATTAATAAATCAGTTAATGTAATTAGTCTCTTAACTTGAAGGCGAATGTGTAAGATACTCTGAATTTGTATTTTGATGGAAATTTCAGACAGACCATAGATCTTTAATGCATAAACTTACTAAAAATTCTCACATTGATTAGATGGAGTCGTATCAGTTTTACTTATATTTGATTCATTGTTTTTAGTAACAAAACCCATCGAAAATATTACTTTTTTTTTTTCTAATAGGAAGGGTTAGAACAGATAATTTTCCTGACTCCATTTATTTCTGTTCATATGGATTAGAGGATGGCTAATGAAAACTGCTTAGTATAAAGCAATTAAGCAGAATAAATTCCTCCATGAATGAAAAGTTCTGTATAGTTGCCATTAAAGTCTTTACAAATTTATTGATGCTGTTTATTAACTAGAATATGAATTTGCCTTGGGATACAAGGTGTTATTTGCATTAAAAACTGTTGTCTAAAGCACTTCCTTAAAGAACAGGTTAAAAGTTTGAAAGAATGCCAAGGAATTTCCTAGAAAAAAATTGATGAAATATCTACCCTTTAAACTCTAAAATATTTATTTACAAAATATAACAATACAATAGCTGATACTCCCAGGAACTGCTTATGCAACCCTCAAAGGGATAGAATGAAATGTATGCTGTTTTCTGTTGCATTTTAATGGAAAATGTAAGAAGGAAGCAGAAAATGAATATTTGCATTAAAAATGATATGGCACTAGGAACATTAGGTGTTGCAATAGCAGCAAGTTCTACATGTTACATTAGTAAAAAAGAATGGTTTTTCTCTCATGTACATTGCTGCAGCCAGCAAATGAGGGATTACCTCTCAATTATTATAAGGTTTTAATGGTCTGTGAAGTGTCTTCGTAACCTGATCATACAGTTAGCATAGAATAAAGGATTTATTTCATTTTAGTGGTAATGTGTAGTTTCTTACCATTTCTGGAAAAGACAATTCTTGAAGAACTGAAAATAGAATATACTTTACATAAATAAGTACATTCTTACTACGAATTTAGGTAAACAACCCAATTCATGATATATCGCACCCATATTATGTGGGAACTGTCATAAAAATATTTCAAGCACAAAGTAATATATCTGTTACTGGTTCTTTGTATATTTTTCCCATTGATTTAGAGATGATGCATGTAATTTCTGACTCTAGTGAGCATATCTTTGTTTATATTACACTAATGCATTTTTGCAATTCATATCAAAGAAATCTGCAGTTCAGAAATAAATAAAAATTAAGAGAAAGGCAAGATATACAAAGAACTTAGCTACTTCTGGTTTCATAGTAGTAGGTATATAAGAAAGGCAATGCATTTTGTGACTGCTGCCTAATGCATTAGGGAAATGTGGCAATAACCAGCACTAGATTACTGCTTCCAAACAATCAAGCTGCCATTTTTATATGATAGTTAATATTTAAATGACATACTCTTGCATCTGCTGACAATTGATGTAATGGTAATACTTTATGAGTCAATATATATTTAATCAGTGGAAACTGTAAAAATTGATGAGAAATATATAACATAGGTGCATTACAGTGTGTAGCAGCTCTGTTAAATGGGAAAAACTCCATATTATTATCTTTCAGGGTTGTTTTTTGAGGGTTTATCAAACTACTTTTAATTTTTTTTTTTAAATATTTTCCAACCTTTCATATTGTGTATGTAGTACAAAAGGATTAAAATAAATTTCATTTTTTGTTAGAAATAATAACATTAGTCACTGTTCTCTTCATACAAATATTTTCAAGTGAGATTTGAAGCACTATGAATTTTACTTACATACTAAATTCTGACATGAAGCATGATGGCCTATTTCAAAGAAAGATGGACACATGATTAATATGAAAATTAGGGCGATGCAAGTACCTGAACTAATAAGGTAGTCCTTATTCAGGCTGGACTACCTTCAGTAATTTCACCATTTTTCATGTGTCAGGTCTGATGTGGGTTACAGAAATAAGCAGCTCTGTGGAAAGCATTTCTCTCTACTTGGGGAATTTAAGGCCATCCAAGTACATACGTATTTGGAAAAATATGTATGCAAAAATGAAACCACCTTTTTTGGTCTAGTTACTAAATCAAGATAAATTTTTTGCACTAATATTGAACTTGAAAAGATGTCAAGAAAAATTCACTGTGACAATGTGTGAGCAACGTTTACTGTCTCATAGTTAAAATTCTGGTTCAATAAAGCAGTATTTTAATGGTATCCAAAAAGCTATTGTAATTTCAGGTGCAACTAGGCCATAGATTTTTCATGCATATAAAAGCAGTTGAAATGGAGGAATAGCTTTGTTAAAAATGAAAATATAATCTCTTAAGAAATTATGACCAAGCCCAACACATCTGCTAGAGATATTGATGCAAAAGATATGTGGTATCACTGGATGGGTACCACATGTACTGAGTATTTGTAGCAAAGGATCACCACTTCTTTTCCTTGGCAGGTAACCTTGTAAAAGGGATTTCGCTGTCATCTTTTAGAAAGGATGGTTCAGATGCAAAAAGTACAAACATAATAGCCCATATTATATGTTAGCAACTTTATTTGGTTTTTCATTGGTACTGTGGATTGCTGCTACACATTTGGTTCAAATAACTGAGTTTAATAATTGGAAAAACATAATGTTTCATTGACTTTTGTACTTTACTTTTACTTTACAGATTACAGTTCTGACAAGTGTGCATCTAAATGCATTTACCTCCTGAAATTCTGTTTTTATTTATGTTTGGCTAAGGTGGACTTTGCCCCATCATTGATGGCTCGTATTGTGTTAGAGAGATTTCTACAAGAAAAGGAACAAACCATCC